AAAAAAAAAAAAAAAGCTTTCAAAACATAATTTCCAGACATAGTTCAGCATTTTGATGTAGTAAGAAGCTGATCGTAGATCATTTTGAAAGAGTAAGGAGTGTAAGAAAAGAAACAAAACAAGAATAAAACCTTCTATCTTATGAGCAAGAAGAGAGGCCAGAGGGACTTGAGTAGCCACACTAAATCCAGAGTGGACCTGTATGTTGGAAGGGATGGAGATGAGAGATCAGTCTTGTGTATGGGAGCGGCAGTGTTATGTCCCAGAAGCATCAGAGAGTGGCCTCCCTTGCTCTACCCCTCAAACACCTCTTAGCAGTTCTCATTTCAGATACAGTCTCACTTGAAAGAATACAAGTGATTTCTGAGGAGTCATATCACAGAAATGCTCATCTTAGAGTTTTTGGCCTTCCTAGTCCCTCTGTCTGTCACACTTTTTACTCAGGTCTCTACTCCCTTGTCACATCCTCAGAACATACTGGCTGCAACTGCTACCTGCCCATGGGCCTTGCTTTTACCTTCTCATTGCATTTAGCACCACCCAGAGATAGCTGCAATCTAGAAAATGCTGTAAGAAAAAAGTAATAATGTTTTTAATCTAGTAATTACAGAATTTCTTAGAATAAAAACCTATAATGTAGACAGTAGAGTAATAAACATTTTATTTCGCTTTTATTTTTTCCTTTTTTGAAATACAAAATGTGCACATTGAGTTTACACAAACACGCGATGGCAAATTTCAGTGTACATGTATTGTACTACTCTTAATTTCTACACTGGTGATAGCAGGGCAGCTTTCAACATCCTATCTCTACACCAGAATAGATACCTGATTTATTGTTGCAAAGACAGTTGCAAATTTCCTCCTACGATAGCCTCCTGATCTTTGTAATATTTCTACAAAACAAGGAAGGTGTGTGTATCTTTAGTAATGTGGCAACTTTACAGTTTTGGCGTAAGTTCATTAAGAATCTGGATTATTGGAGTTTTGTGATGAGCTAAATCATAATGCAATTCAGATGAGTTATTCAGCACTTACGTTCATTTTCCACTAAACCTTAGTAGTAGTTCTCGATATAATGGAATCACTGCTGCTTTCAAAGTGAATTCTGCTTGCTGTTCTGTTCCTAGTAGGCGTTGGGGTAGTAAGGTTTCTTTGTCCCTGAATGGCTTGTAATATAAACATGCTGTGAGGAAGTCAGGGTAAAGGAGATGGAATTGGCCTTTAATGCTGTGAGGGATTACTTGTTATTAAACATTACTATGTACTACAGGATGGATGTCCTGACCCTTTGCATATGTCCGTAAACATCCTTGCCAAAGGATATTTCATGCCTCCTTCACCTCCCTTAACGACACAAGGAAACAGCTTGTAAGACTGAACAAATCCAAAATTATATATATTATGTAGGCCTTGGCTGTAATAGGTATTATGGAAAATTAAATGCTTATTAAAATAAGTTTTATTAGGCATATACTGACATCTGGTAATATACTAATTTGTGAAATGTTTCCTTAAAATGCCAGATAAATTAATGTCTTTAACAGAAGGTGGCAAATCCATGGAAACTGGGATAATGTGTTTGTTTTTTGGATTGTAGTAATCTTGTTTACTTAAAGTATATAAATGGAATTACATCATACAAACATGAAAATTAATTCAATTTCTGGAAATTAAATGCAGATGTCAATATTTTAGAAAACCATTTAAAATTCTAGGACTGAATACACAGAAATGAGTAGCAAAAAACACTGATATTTTAAAATCACTGATATGTGAAAGCCTCAGTAATCCCATGGCTAAGGAATCAATAAAACTATATGTCAGATTCTATTACTTTTGATATTCACAGAGTATGAAATGAGTTAAAACATCTCATGAACTCAGTGGCATTATGAAAAAGATGCAAATTTGTAATTGGAAAACTCAGATCTTTTGGGGATTGCTTTATATTAAAACAAAGCTTGTTTGCATAATATGCCTCAGTGTAAAGCTGAGCAATCTATGCTAAAAGTGGTAGCTCCAACTTTAAGTGTGGTAGAATAGTTCACATTTGTCTGTTCGACTGAGAATCTATTTGACAAGTTAAATCACATTTTCAAAGAGCTGCATCGAGCGCATTATGTTTTCATCCTGTAAGAGAGAAACACAGAAAGATTAAATTCAGCATATTTGCAACAGAAAGTACACTGTTTTGCCCTTAAGTATTGCCTCCTCACACCAGCTGCCTGTGCCAAAAGCTCAAATAAGAAGTGTGTGAATGTAAATGTCATTCCAGCCATTTTGCACCTAGATTACTATGGAGGGTTCATTTTATATTTTGTTGAGTCTATCATGCTTTAACTGTTTTATTTAAATCTTATTTGGTGTTAATAGGGGCTATTTCTCAAATCATAATGCCAGAGGAGAAATTAGAGAGGCACAGGGGGTAAAGTCAAAGTAAGCCAATGAGAATTTCGACATTCCAGGTAGATGACAGGCCAAATCAGAGAGACTTTTATACAGGTGCAAAGAAAATTTATGTGTGAGCTTTCAGTTGTGGCTTGGGAGGCAGGGTGGTAGATTAAGAGGGAACATGTTTGCCGTAATCGTACCTGTTTGTCTGCTAGTTAATGGCTAAATGTATGTGGACTGTAGAAGCCTTTACAAATGAATAGTCTCTCAATGACAGAGAAAAGATGGGTTGGGAAAGACCATTGACCAGTGGCTTGCTCAGTTTAACCTATTCCTGAGAAATGAACAAGAGGTAGGGCCGGCCTGTTAGCTCACTTGGATAGAGCAGGGTGCTCATAATACTGAGGATAAGGGGACGGCCTTTGAGCAATATAGGAGCACTTGTCAACTGTACATGAATGGCACTTAGCTGTTTACAGTAGTGGTAAATGGTGGCTGAACTAATAATGGCTTCCGCAGCTAGAAACTATGTAGCATTACCAAAGCAGGTTAATGTCACCACGTCAATGCTCTCAAAGACCACCACACCAAAATCCGAGTTCAGAAATAAGCAGGCATCAGGAAGGGTGAAGAACAATTTAAAAATAAAAAGAAAAGCTAAAGCATCAATAGACTCTCAGTGACTATTTTAAGAAATCTTAATTGTAGTTCTACCCACACATCAAGTCAGATAATTCTAGGTAAACTAGTACTGGTTTCCTAGATGATAGGTAATTACCTGGATTTCTCCTCTGCGAGAATCTGTTCTTTATTTTTTGTGACTGAAGCCCATTACTGGGTTCAGCCAAAAAGCCATTTCTTGTCCACAGACACTAAAGCAATGATATTTCCTTTAGAAATCAGTTGTAAGCTTGGCCTGTAATGCATACTTGGCTGTACTGGAATTCTAATTTTATAGAGATACAGTAGATAATATACATGTTATAATGCTAAGTCTAGGAGAACAGTAATTCAAATTTCCCATATATGTTTTATCCTCAATGAATACTCTAAAAAATTTGGAGAACAAAAGCACAGTATACGTGCAACTTTTCCATCTCTAGGGCTTCCGACATAACCTGCCTGCCTCAGACTAGGCACTACATAATGTTGACTTGTTGACTGAATGTATAAAATCATACGTGTAAGATCTTTATATTTTGCTCAGTTCATGGTGGCTCGCTGGCAATTCTCAGTCCAGCTATTATGAAAGTGATAGTTTTTTTTGTTTTTTACTCTCTTTACTTACTTTTTGGCAACTTTCAATGAACTCATCTATGGTAACAACTCCATCTTTATTTTTGTCCATTTTCTGTTCAGGAAGAAAAAACCAAAAAATATTATTCATACTTCCCTTGACATTCTCACACTTGAACTGAATGAGCTGATGCTGATGAAAGAAAGCCCAGTTGCTTGTTTTATGTGGAGGAACTGCTTCACAGCAGGAACTAGTAGTTTCTCAGAGATAAGAGTCATATGGCCAAATCCTTTCAGGCTGTTCCCTTTTCAGTATAATGTGGTGAAGATCTAGAGTCACTCTGCCCTAGGTAAAATCCTGCCTTCCAGATATGACAGAGCTCAGGCAATTTGCTGAAACTTTTAGAGCCTTGGTTTTATCATCTGTAAAATGGGGCTAATGAGGATTTATAACCTCATAGGGTTCTTGTGAGAATTGAATGAAAACAAAACACAAAAAACTTGTGAAACATGTAAATTGCTTCGTGTTCAATCTTGGATATAGTGAATATTTAAAAGTGTAGTTATCAGTGTTATAATAAATTCAAAAACAAAATTATTAAATTAGTAGAATAGTAAGCATTCTATTGTTTTTTCACTTTTGGTAAATATTTTCCTTTGCATTCTTTTAAATAAATCATCATGGCTCTTCTCAAACATCAGGAAATTTGCTCTTAAGTTCACTCCCTCCCTGGCTTCTATTTTGATTCCCACCTGGAAAAATGTTTCGACGTGTTGTCTGGGAGCATCTTCTTTGAGGACAGGATATGTGCATTTACCCATCATATCGTATATTGCTTTCATTATATCAAGCATTTCCTGAAAAGTAAAAAAGCATTCAAGTGAGGCTGCATACAGTATATGAAGAAAACAATCTAAGAAGCTTGGACAGATTTTTCCTACTCAACTGCAAATTTTTTATCTTTCTTTGACTTTTAATTAGGTGACTTTTGGTTGTCCCAAAGGAAAAGCCAACAAACAGCTTCCTGCCTTAAAAGTAGCAGAATCAAAACGTAGGAGTCAATTCTGATCTTAGTTTCAAGATGAAGCAAATTCCCATATGGCTAATATGGTAATAAAATGAATATTCTGTTTTAATGTTTGTATTTCCATAGATTTTACATAGACTATCTTTGTTTTATTGAATTATTATATATCTTATATGTTGCTTATCAATTTCCATTTATTGAGAGTAAGATATACTGCACACCATATACTGAGAATAAAATAAACTCCATTCAGAATTACTAAAACTGATAAGTCTCAAAGCTCATTAGGATTTTCATTTATTTTTTCCTACTATGGCTTTAAACTGAAGAAGTCACACATGGAGATGAGCCAAAATATTTTGAGCCTAGGAAACACCTGGACATTTTATTAATTTTTTTTTTTTTTAATAAAACAAAACCTAGTGTTTGCCCTGTCATTTTCAACCTGAGGAGAGTAAGAATAATATCTAATTACTTAGACATCCAGATTTATTGTTTCATGTTTGTTTCACATAAAAAGTCTCTGGATTAGGTTGATAACACAGATGTAATATACATGAGGGTACTTCAAAAAAGTTCATGAAATTATTGGTACCTTTCAATTCTATTTATTATGAACTTTTTGAAGTACCTTAATATTTACTTTTGAGAATATTCAATTCTATATAAATGATAAAGTAATTTGTAGCTTGTAAAACAAGCAAAACCTTTTAAGATGTTTTGAGAATAGATAAGTAGCAGGAGTTTGTTAGAAATAGGCAGAATTCATGGGATGTATTAAACTTAGAAAGAACAGAATTGAAGGACCAATACATACTTAATATTCCTGAGGCACTTGGAGGTATATATTCACGGTATACCAAATATAGAAGAAGCACTAACTATTCAAGATATGCTCCATTATATATGAACACTTAACATTCATGAAGTCTTAACTCAGCACCCAGTGCTGACACTCATTCTGGCCCCAAGAAACACAAAATTCATGACTACTTATCAAGCTATAGCTGTGGCCAGATACATTTGTCATCTGTCTCTTCCATAGAGCATACAGCAGGTTCATGTCATTGGCCACTGGCATTGGCCTTTAGACCGAGGCACCTTTTGCCTGTGGGCCCCTTGCTGGAAACTCTGGGGAAGGCTAGTGAGGCAGAGAGGGTGACAGGGCATATGAACATTGACCAGGCCCAGAACTCTGGGAGCGTGGTCCTTCAACCCCACTTACACCCTTTCTTCAACGTGGTTAACTTACCCTATCCCTATCCCTTTGTTTCTTGCTGTGTTTGAATTGGTTTAATAAACCATATGATATGAGCATCTCGATTTGGTCCATGAGCTTTCTTTCTTGGATAGCCTGACTGAAAGTGTATTTGGAGGCCCTGCCATTGCATCAGGTCATTCCCACAAAAACAGGTCATAGTGTGATCCATATGATTATAAAACTGCCTGTTTCCATATGGATAACATTATATGGGATGCAGGGTAGGAGAAGATTTCAGGCCAAATATTCTATTCTGGTTTGGAGGCACTTTCTTCTCATCTGTTTCAACCACAGTCTTTATTTCATTCAAGTATTTATTAAGAAGCCAGTAGGAAACAAGGGTGTAAACCTTATGTGTTATATATTTACTTGGAAGGTACAACATAAACTATTCCAACCCATTCTAAATTTTTTATTAGAATACATCTCTTCACCACTACCACATAAACTATTTTGGAATTCCTGAAAAAAAAAAAGATTTTCAATTAATAATTGCAATTGTTTAATATTTTAAAGTTAAGAAATGAAAACAGCCCAAAGGATAGCTGTGTTGGTGAGGCATTTCTTACTTCTTTAGTGATGTAGCCATCTTTATTTATATCATACAAATTAAATGCCCAGTTGAGTTTTTCTTGAACTGTCCCTCGGAGCAAAATGGAAAGACCATTGATAAAATCCTGAAAAGAAATAGAAATAAAAATACAGCTTGATAAGACATTTCTAAAAGAGTACGACAAAAACTCTGATAAAATTGCCTCCTAAGTGATGGAAGCAAGGGCTACAGCCCTCAGGATTTTGAACCATTTATCTTGCAAAATGAATAAGGTGTTCTTGGTCGTCGGTTTCTAAGTTCTTTGTGGGCACAAACCACTCCATAGCCTATTAGGAACTGTGAGTGTTGTACTGGACCTCGTATCAGAATAGGTACCCAAACAGCAAGATGCTTGAGTATAAGTGGTATTGGCTTTTTACTACAAGTGCACACAATTTACAGAAAAGAATCTAATAACACTGTATTTTTAAAAATATAGCACACACATAACACACTTCCCATGAAAAAGATCTGCTAACAACAGATGCAGGCTGTATATAAGAGAGGGACCAATTATAGTCTTTCCTTAGAAATCAAGTTGTAATTTACATGTGGCCAATGGTTAAGAGCCAGGAGCTAGAAGCCAGAAAGCCTGAATTCAAATTCCAGCTATGTCACCAGATAGCTTTGTATGTATGTTTTTCTGGCTTTTGCGTTAGACTTGATGCCTGTACTGAACTTACTTTTGTGTTAAACTTGGTGTGGGCCCTGCTCAGTCTCTGGAGCATGCCACACTCTCTTCGTGGAAGTGTATTTCTTACCTGTTTTATTAAACTTGTTCTCATTTTCTACTGTGACTCTGCCTTCAACCTCTGTCCTCTGGTGGAGTCAAGAACCTGGTAAGAGGACTGGGTAGATTGAGGCCGAGTATAGGGCCCCCCTGGACCCTACCTCCAACATCAAAACTACCTACATTCAAAGATAGCTAGGGACTTTGAGCATCCCTCTTGCTTTATCTTGCAGGATATTAGTAAACAGTTATTTCAAAATAGGAATGACTACCTTATTTTGTGCAAAAGGAAAATGGGAAACTCAATGTGGCTTATAAGATTTTTGCTCCATGCTTTTCTGGGTGGTAACTGAAACCTCTCAAGCAGGGAGTGTCAAGGCTTAAAACAACAGCAGCAACAACAAAGACTGTCGAAGAATCCTTTGCACAACTACCTAACTTTTGCCTGTGGGATGAGGTTATGTCTGTTCCCTAATGCACAATAAGATAAGGGGAGAGGGATCTGTTCTGAATTCTGGTTTCCGTTCTCTTATTATCAAGGCAAAAGAAGAAATTTGACTTCATAATGTTGTCTTGTTCAGCTGTGAGCTTTATTCATCTACCAAATCTTTCCTGAGTGCCTCAGCGCTGGTCACTATGCCAGGGACATTATCCTCCTGACTTCCCACCTGCCAATCAAAAACCACATGGCTTAGAATGATGTATTTGCAAAGTCTTGTAAATAAAGTCCTGTTTACAGATGGGAAATCATCATTAAGTGATTCACCAAATGTTAAAAAGGTTAATTAGCGAGGAAGTGACAGACTCAGTACAGAAAGTTAGGCATGTGTTTAGTATATTCCTTATTTTATGCTTGCTTGTATAGTTTCATAAAAAAAAAATTAAGGTTGTTTATTTCCTCTGGCATGATCACACAGCCAGTTGGTGGCAAAATGGAGATTTAATCTCAGTCATATCTAGATCCAGGTCTCCCCCTCCTGCCTTATTTACTCTGCTTTTCAGATTCAAGCAAGTTAAGTGAAAAACTCCCATTTCTCTTTATCATAGAATCAGGATAGTCTCTCTGCTGTACCTCCCAGTATGCTAATGTTACTCAAAATATATTCATTCCCTAACCATTTCTGTTTTCTAGAGACTTTCCAGGTAGCTAAACAACTTAGAAAAATAACTGCAAATGCCTAGTTTTAATTTGGTTTTGATTCAGCATTTATTAATTTAGCCATTAGTTTGCTTTAAAAGGAAAGACATTTTACCAACAAACATATCATATATTCAACCATTACAACTAATTTCCCAAATTATAATTGTCCATCACAATTACCAGCATTTTACATAAATATTTTAAAAGCAGTGTTATGCATGGTCCTGTATCAGTAACACCTTGCTAAATTTATGTATAAAATTGTCTATAACGTGCTATAGGAAATTAATGGTAAATATCTGATATTTAAGTAATTTCAAGTAATTAAATCACTAGTAGTGTTCGCCTTATCCTCTGCAGACTAGCTATAAAAGTTTTTATTAAGTAAACTGGAATCTTTGACTTTGATATTGTAGCTAGAATGATAGATCTTGTTGGTAACGTGCAGCAAACACTAATGCGATATTATCATGGGGTGATTAAAGACATCATCTTGGAGTGAGCTAAGCTGCCGTCAGTGGAAGAAACGTCCCAGGAGACTGGTTCCCAGGACATCCTCGCACCACCTCTTCCCCCACCAGCTGCTGCTTCTGCATCTGGGATAGACCCATCCGCCCCGTCTTGACTTCTAAGTTCACACAGTCTTCTCAGCCCACTGCCAGTTTCTATTTTTCTCTTCTCAGTGTTATTTCTTGGTTAAGTTATGGGAGATGACATTTGGGGTTCCTGGCCCAGAATCTTCATATTAGTGGCACTCCATTTGTGCAAGTGCAGAGTAGGTGTGAGGAGGCACTTTGCTGCACCCAGTAATGATGCCCCTGGGACCACTGACTGACATCTCAGAAGGCTGCATTTTTCTTTGTACATCCTGACTCCACAAAGCCCTTGTACCCAGATAGCCGCCTCTGCCCATACTAATGTTTCCCCGCCGAAACATGACCAATTTTGTTGGAATATAATTCTACCAATTTCATTTTATTATCTTTTGAATTTGTCTTCTTTTTCACTTCCAATGCCTTTACTGAAGTTCAGGCTTTCACTGGCTCCTGTCTGGACTCTTGGAATAAATAGCTGCTAAATGCACTCCTGTTTCCAGAAACATCTCTCTGATACATTAACATTCCTGCTGAAGATGCCTCAGGGTCTCCTCATCTCCTACTAGACAGTCCTACGTCTCCAGCCTCCTGCCCAAGACTTGTCAGGGTCTGGCCTCTGCCTCCTTCCCCAACCTTTGCTCTTGGCTCTCCCATGTTGCAGAAATGCTCTCTCTTTGTTCCCAAGCCTGATGCACTCTGTGCGGTCTCTGCCTCACTGCCCACCGCTTCCCATCCCCAGCCTTTACTCTCTTGACCAGCTCCTGCTTGTCTTTCAGACTTAGTTCACCAATTCAGTTCCACTGGGCAGGCTGCCCTGCTATAGCCTATCTGCCAGGGACCCTTCCCAGCCCCTGCTTTCCTTTAACATGGCCCTCACTGAAATTTCTGCTCATGTGTGAGACACATTGTCCCCCACTCCCCCCAAAATGTGTCTCACAAATTACCTCATTTCCATTTTATGTAGACTTGTATATATACTCAAATATACGAGGGGTCTTCAAAAAGATCATGGAAAGATTGATATTTTTTTTCAATTCTATTTTCCTTGAACTTTTTGAAGCACCCTCCTCTGTGTGTGTGTGTGAGAGAGAGAGAGAAACTGTAATTACAGTGTAAAATGATGTATAATTTGATTCCCTAGAGACCAAGCACAGCCATTCAGAATATAAGCAAATAGATTAGTTATATGGTCACCCACAGGTTTCCTGACAAAAATAAAAACCACCAGTCTTCACATCTGATATAACATTTAGATTTAAGTATATCAGTATCTGTGAAATTCTATGTGCCATATGAATCATTTGAATGACATCATTTTATGACACACACACAAGCATACTTCAAAAAGTTCATATCAAATGGAATTAAAAGATAATATAAATCTTTCCATGAACTTTTTAAAGACTCCTCAGGGGTGTGTGTGCATGTGCGGTGTGTGTTTGTGTGTGTGTGTAGCATTGTGAATATCCAGGACACATTTTCTTTTACTAGATGCTTACCTACAGTATTTCATGAACAAAATTGCATGCTTTCTCTACACAACATTTAAAGTTAGTAGTTGAAAAAGAGATTTCCTTGTAAAATTGTCAGGTTGGTGAATATAGCATTTTTCTATATTTAACTTCTTGCCTGATTGCCCACCTTACTGGGCCTTCCACAGCAGGGTTTTTGACATTATCATCTTGGTATTTCCTACCACAGTGATGGGCCCAAAGTAGGTGCCAGTAAATGCTAGTTAAATCATTTGCCTTCTGGGATTGTTCCCACACAGTTGAGGAAATGGACTTTCCCTGAACGAACAGATAAAAAGTAATAAAAAACAAACTAAATGTTGGTTGTAATTTGTATTTCTTTTGAGAGATAAGGGCAGCTTCTTGGCAATCAGTGAGCGAAAGGAAGTGTTGGGTTTTTTTATCCCCCTGCTCAAAAATGATCAAATCGCCAAACTCAAATTTTCCCACAAAAAGGACTAAAGTCACTTTCAGAGTGCTTAAAGTCAAATGATATAAAAATAGTCTAAGGCTTACCTCGAAACTCACAGCTCCGTTGTGGTCAGTATCAAATGCATTGAACAGGAAGTGTGCATATGTTGTAGAGTCTGAAATGTCCAAAAGGGATTATCATTAAGTCAATCTTTCAGATCTGGCATAAGACCTGGATAGCAGCTCCAAGCCTCCTTTCATTCAGGAAAATTAACCCCCCTCCTTTAGCTTGTGATTTACTCCCAGCTGCCCACCCACTTTTGGGAGAGGACTGGAATTTGAGATTCACAGGAATGAATCTCTACCTGCACCAAGGCTGCTGGTGACAGACCTGCTCCATGAGTTTCTGGCTGGAGATGCTCTCAGCACATGACAGTCTTGGGTGATGATACCAACACTGGGACAAGTAATGGCCTGATATATGGGTGTGAGGATTAAATGAGACATGTCTAGAAATGTTTAGCACTTGGCAAAGATTATCTCTAGAAATAAATTAATAAAAATACTAATAATGAGATGAAGATGAGTTGTTATTAGTGTTCTTGTTGTTATTAGTACAGTCATATGCTGCATAATGATGTTTCAGTCAGGAACGGACTACATATATAGCCATGGTCCCTAAGATTATAATGGAGCTGAAAAATTCCTGTTGCCTAGTGACGTCATAGCTGTCAAAACATCGAATGCAACACTCGTGTTGTGGTGATGTTGGTGTGCACAAACCTACTACAGCATATATTGAGGAAGAATGCCTCCCCTACCCATGGGGTGACCCTCCCAAAGGTAGTTCAGGCCTTTAAGATAGCCAAGCAAGTGACACACCAGGTCAGATCCTAAGTGAGAGGGTTGTTGTCTATTTTAGAATTCTTACATTTTAAAATCATTTCCACTCTTCCCCATAGTTAGCTAACACTCACTGAGCGCTTGCTGAGTGCCAGGAGCAATTTCTATCTATAATTTATCTTTCATAAAGTTGCAGGCGTGGTATTATTCTAATCCCCATTGAATAGATGAGGAAAGTGAGGCACAGAGAGACTCAGTAACATAATTAATGGGCCCATGTTATGCAACTAATGACTAGTGCAGATGATAGGAAAATTCATTGCTGTCCCCTTTCACAATGCACTCTTGCACAGTGACAAAACTGCCTATGTATTTCTCAGAAAGTATTCCTGTCGTTAAGTGACTCATGACTGTGATTTCATCATTTTTACAACTCAGATAAGAATATTAGGACTCAGAAAAGTTGAGAATCTTGCCCAAAGTCACATAGTCAATAAGGAGTAGACTGGAGACATGAGCTGAGGTCTTTCTGACTCTCAGAACCAGGTTAGCTCAGTTGGCTAATAGATTGGGAACAGTGTTGACCTGGGAAGTCTCTGTAGCTGTGTTGGAAGGGGATTGTGTGGTCCTAACAGTTCCCACTTGGATGCAGTAGGGAGCCCCTCCTCTGTCTGGGTCTTGGGTGGGATTGGAGGGTCTGGGTATAGGTGGACAGGCATGGACAGCCCTCTACCCCTGGTACCTCCTGATACTGCCTAATGACACCAAAGTACTCTGAAATCTAACACTTTCTCTTAAAGTGATTCTAGTAGCTTTTTTCCCTCTCATTTTTCTTTCCTTCCTCTTCTCCTATTTCTCCTTTGTCTCCCTAATCTCTGAGTTTTCTGCCTTTTCATTTTAAAAGTCTACAGTAAAAACTTATTGTTTTCTTTTCTTAGTACCCGGCTTTCAGTTTTAAATACTGTGCATGACCCTTGATCAAATTTACATGATTATTTTCAATGCTTCATCTCATGGGCTTTAGCCTTTTATCTTAACCTTTTTTTATCTTCTCAAAAAAAATTGTAACCTTTTAGCTCATTGGCTCTAGCCTTTTATCTTCTGTTTAAAATCTCACCTATTTCTATTTTATAACTTTTAACCTTTATTTTTATTGGGACTTAACGTACCTTCTATTCACTTTTTACTGTATGGTTTGCTCTTAAAGGCTGTCAAGAAGCTAAGTCATAGTAGTGGGAATAGAGAATTTCCCTCCCCAAATAAGAGAGGTCCAAGGTCATCTAAACCTTTCTCCTGGCTTATAGGGCCCATGACCTGTTTATGAATGGTTCTTCCTGAATGTCACTGCAGTAGCAGTGGTCAGCACTATGGAAGTGGGTCCTGGGTGGGATTTATATATTTATACACATTAAATATTTATATATTTCACAAGATAGTGCACTCAGTTTCTCAAAATGATGGTGGCATCTTCTCTAATATCTTACCTTTAAATATAGTATAAAGAGCCACTTATTTTTAAACATGTGAATTACAAACACTGTTTTCAATAAGCTAATCAGGCACCAAATTTGGGTCTACATAATAAGTAAAACTGTTCTATCTAGAGTGGATGTCCAGCTAGTATTGATGGGTTACAGGAAGAAATCCTATTGGATATTGGACCAGAGGTTTAATTACAATCAACTTAGTGCTATTGTTGGGAAGTTCCACTATAGCATTATCAAGAATTGGCAGCCTATTTCTATTTGCAAAGTTGCTTTGCTCACAACAGTACTTTTTCAAAGACCTCTTGAACTATTTAGTGCCCTATGGAGATGTAAGTTGGTAGGTGGTAGGTTAAACTTATTTTCAAGGGAGGAAAAAAAGAAGAGATTTTGCATATTTTATAATGAGCTTCATTAAGCAGGTCTCTTGTTACCCTGTTTATATAATCAGGTTAAATGCCTTTACCTTAGCAAGCAGAATTCACCATGAATAATGGCTCAGAATAAAAGATGTTTGCAATTTTTAAAAATGTAAAAAACAAGATAACCTGGGCATATGGTAATTACAATTCCTCTTAAATGGGGTTTCTCTAGCTTTAAAGCTTGACATGTGGGAATTATACTCTCAAGGTCTCTACTAATGCAGTACAGAGGACGTCTTCTTCTTCTAAATGCACCTTGGCAATTCTCCTAGAAGTTAAGCTGGTTTTCCAGCCTAGATATACTGGGCAAAAGCTTTTGCTAACAGTGCAATGGAGTCAGACTGCCTGATTTTGAATCTCAGCTTTATGAAAGATTAACTGTGTGACCTTGAGCAAGTTTTTTAATATGTCTTTTATTCAATTTGCTCATCTACAAAATGACAACATTACCAGTATGTACTTCATAAAGTTGTCATGAGGTTTAAATGAGATACTATATGCAAAATGTTTACAGTAGTCCTAGTCATCTACTAAATGTTCAATAAATAAAATATTAGCTATTATTATTCTTTCATAGACAATACACTCTCTCTTCAAGTACCTTAAAAAAACATGATCAGATCTTTTACAGACATAATATCTTTTCACCTAAAAAAGTTCCTTTTTTTATAAAACCTCTGTTGCGTGTCTAGGAAACTGGAGTTCTACTTTGATGCAATTTCATGCTCAATAAAGGCCAGTAGAATTATTTCATGAAAGGCAATGAACCTTCTGATGGAGTCTGGATTTCTTCTGGCAGGCATTTGAAGCCTGTAAAGATTTTTAAAGAAGGAGGTGCTGCTACTAGCTTTGACTGGGCCAGAGGAAAAAGCTGAGGCACTGGAAGGTCTGGCTAGGCAGAAAGGTCAATAAAGTGAAGACAAGAGAAACTGTGCACAGAAGCTTCTATGGTTCAGGTTTCACCCGACTGTGTTTTTCTTAGGCACTCAGTAAGTGCTTGTTAAAGGATGAATAACTGGTTTCCTGAATTCTAGATTTCAGTACAGTTCAGGGTTTGAAAGTTATAACAATGATATTTCTTCTCCCTGTGTGACCTGATGGTCTTCTTTGATGACATTTCCTTATATAACAAAAATAGTTACTGAGTTTGATATGCTGAGGTTTTCTTGGTTTCTTATAATTTTACACGTGAAGTTGAAAAATAAATGTTGACATTTTACAGATGGGCAACAAAATCTATAGATTCGTAGGATAGAAAGAGTTCTTGGATATCATTTAACAATTTATCTACATTTAACAAAAGTGGAAAAGAGGTTCAGGTACTATTAGTGACTTACTAAGGTCACCTAGTTAGTTAATGGTAGAGTTAGTGATGAAATCAATACCAACTCTTAGAAATAAAGAGTGTTAGAGTAGAAAGAAAACTGAGGATATCCTTGGTCTGACCCCCACATTTCACTGAGGAATGACCTGAGGCCCAGAAAAATAGACCACTCGAGGTCACATAGCACCGTGATGGCAGTCTGTGCACAAACTCAGGACTCCTGATTTCATCCTCTCTTCTTAACCCAATTATTTCCAAACCACATGATGATACCAACTAACCCTCAAGTTAGTTGTTCAGAGTATTTGAACAAATACAGTTGATTATCATGTTCCAGGTTTGTGGAATGAAATCATCCTGACTGATTTCCTTCTTCCCACTCCAACCCCCCACTCCCACCTGAATTCAAGCACAAGGTACTTAGCTTAATATATTTGAATATACAATTCATGGTTACCAATGTGAAGCAGGTTTATATGCAGTTTCTGTCAATATCCTCTATAAATCACCTTGAAAATTGTTAGAAATATTGTCCTAGGACAAGAGGGATACTCAGTGGGTGGAGTTTTATATTTTATTTTATTTTAATCTTTTTGTCCACAGAACCCATCTAAGTGCCTCAAGTGCTTCTCACACAGAGGATGCTGAGAAAACATTTGTTGACTTAGATTCTTCTGACTTGAGCTTATTCCTTCATTCATTCCTTCAACAGCTGTTTATCCGGTGCCTAGTATTATCAAAGTAAATGCAAAATTCCTACAACACTAGCAGGAATAGCCCAGGAAACTGCAATATTTATGGGCTTATAAAGTGCTTAGTGAGCTAAGAGCTTACACATTAAAGCTTCTACTGTACGTGGAGGTGAAAAAGTCCTGTTGTAACCATACAGGCAACAGCACCAACAAGCTGTTTCCTCTCTGCTTGCTTTATAGTAGGCATACTTTATCCCCTACAAACAAGAGGCTTGTGTTCAATTCAGTTGTGCTGACTTCCAGAACACCAAACAAGTTGTGCTTGGTATACTGTCTCGCTAAGCAATAGAGAAAGCTAAGATCCTGACAGTACAAATTGCTGAGAGTTCTGTAGATAAGACAAAGCATTTTCATGGAGGAAATGGTGAGATGTTGTGATTTACAGATGCATCATTGTTACTGTCCATAATGAGAAAGACCTGTTGCTTTCAGGCCATCAACCTGAATAAACGATGACTCTGTGGAAGTGTAAGGATGGCCATAACATGAATTACCTGCCATCAGAGACTGCATTCTTCCTTAGGCCATCTTTTCTTTTCTAACATCATGTAAAGTATGTTTTGCACGAGTGATATTAATTTTTAAAATTGCAAGTCATCAGTCTTTAAAATATTTAATTTCCTTCAGTGATGCCTGGTGCTTTTAGATTTATGCATTCAATTAACATAAAAAAAATCAAAGAATTTTTAAGAGGCAAAAGTAATTTTTCCTTAAATCCCTTTGGATTTTGTAACAAGAATCTTTTGGAAAGTAGATGCTCTCTGCTTAGGTAGATGTTCTCTAATGCGGAAATGTTATTTTTCAAATGGAGATCAAATTTTAATGTGGAGCTGCATCCAACCAGTAGCCTGTAGTAACTTTGTTTGAAATAATGAGAAAATAAAGATTTTCATCTATATTAGTACTTCTATATTAATGTCTGCCAATATGTTGGCAGACAGATAATAAACATGATTTTTCTTAAAAAATTCCATGGGTTTTAAATATTTTAGAAATGTATGAGGTAATTAAGTAATACCCCAAATGAATCTTTCATTAATGCAGACAATGGCCCCATTGCAATTCTGGTATCAGGTGCTATAAGCAATATTTGTCTGTGGTTTGTCAGAACAGAATTTTCCCCTGTGCACTGTAGTAATGGTGGGGTGGTGTATCCAAGTCCATGTAAAGATAGGACTCACTGTGTTTTCTCAGAATTCTAATTAAATTATTTTAAAAGACTATCTTTAATAAAAATTTATGTTTTGATAATCCATGCACAAAATTGTCTTAAACACACCAATATACCTAAAACCAAATAAATTGAGAGCCAAAAAAGGATATAGCCTTTGTATGAAATAACCAATATGCATATTAAAATATACTTTTCAAAATGCCTTTTACAGATATTATTCCATTGTACAGTTACCACCATCATGCAAGCTGGGTGTCATTCATTCATTCATTAATGTTGTAAGTATTTATCAATTGCTATTACTGGTCAGTCACTGTTCCATATCCTGTGGTTACAACAGTGAGCAAAGTAGAGAAAACCTCTTTCCCTTGAAGCTGACATTCTAGTGGGGACAGAGATGATAAATAACAACAATATAAGTAAAATATATATATAATTAGGTGGTCTTGAGTGCTGAAGAGAAACACAGCAGGGGAAGGGGCTGGGGAGTGCTTAAGGGGTTGCAGCTAAAGACAGGGTGGCCTCACTGAGGAGGTGGCATTTGAGGAAAAGCCAAGGTGGTGAGATATGGAGATGGGTATTTGGGAGACGTGAATTCCAGGCAGACGGAACAGAAAGCTCAAGGCCCGGAAGCAGCAACGTGATTGAGGGCCACTGTGTAGGTTGCGGCTTATGCTCTGGTAGGGGGGAGGTGTTGACCAGAGCAGTGACACGATCTGGCTAATAGTTTAACAGGATCACTCTGGTTCATTTTGAGAATAGATCATGGTCAGAAGAGTGGGTATCAGATTCAGAAAGACCAGTTCAGAGATTATTGTGGTTATTTTGCCAGGAGGGGATGTTGGCTCCTTGAAGTGGAAAGCAGTTTTGTTTTGTTTTTTTAAAAAAAGGTGATAGCAAGGTCAGTGGCAGCATCAGCTCTAGCCACAACCACAGAAAGAAGCAATGATCACCTCTTGTGTTGAGAAGAGGTCACAGTGCCCATGAAGGACTGGATGGCCCCCTTCCTATTCGAGGTAAAGGCTTCTTCTAAACTCCTGATGCACATCCTCGCTCGACCCCATCCCGTCACTCTCTCCTCCAGTTCTGGATTCTACTTATTATCTCCTCCCTTTCTTAAGCACTAACATCTCCTCCCTTAGCAGCTCCTTCTCTGTGTAGATGCAAGTTCCAGCCTCTTCTATATTAAAAAACAAACTCTTGCACCTGTATCTGCTTGGAGCTATCATCTGCTTCCTGCTCATCTCTTCACGCTCCCAGCCAAGTTTCCTGTAACTGCTGTCTCCACTGGTCGTCCCTGTTTTCTTACTTCCATTTACCCTTCAGTCCTCTGCAACTTGGCTTCTGCCTGTTCCCTCTCCTCCCCAGTGCTTTTTGAAAGCTGCTCTGATCACACTCAACATCAACCTCCATGTTTCCATGACCTGGGGACACCTTGTGGTCCTCTTGACTGTAGAGTTTAGGGTCTTCATTCTCTTTCTTTCTGAACTCTCAATCTCTCTTGGGCCTATTCCCATATCCCTGGCTGTTCATTCTCCATCTCTTTCGAGGATCACTTTCCTTCTCATGGTTCTGAACGTGTGTTCTGGAATTTCATGTGTGACCCATGGTGCTCATAGCTTTTTATACTCCACCCAGTGACCGATCCACATCATGGATTTAACCACGTCATGGTTAATAACTCCCAAGTCTTTGTCACTTTCTCTCACTTTTCCTCTGAGCCTCAGATTCGTACAAACTTCTTGTTGAGCCTAAATCCCCACAGGCAGCTCAAATGTAATTTTTCCAAAACTGAGATCATCATCCGTCCGTTCTTCCTGTGACGGATCACCTGGTGCCCCTGACAGAGTCCTGGAAGTGGTCACAAATGCCTTTCTCCATCTGTTTTCTTCATAAAAGTCGATCAATCACTAAATTCTGTCATTTTTATCATCTAAATATGTCTGTAATCTGTCCCTGCTTCTTCATTCCTACAATGTGTGTCCTGGTTGAAGACCTTACTGTTCTGCCTCCTGCAATAACCTTCTAATTAGCCTCCTTGCCTGTAGTATTGCCTGCCTCAAGTTGACCTTCCACAGAGCGATCCGTGGAATACATCCCAAACATGAATCTGATCATAACAGCTCCTGCTTAACCCCATCAGTGGCTNTGGAATACATCCCAAACATGAATCTGATCATAACAGCTCCTGCTTAACCCCATCAGTGGCTATGCATCACTTCAAGGATAAAGTCTCCATTTCTCACCATGGCATCCATGACCACCTAAGACATCTCACCCCCTGTCATTCACTCCCTAGACCAGCCACACCCAAATCCCGGCAGTTTCTTGTAAATGCTCACCTTCTATTTTATACTCTGATGCTTTGCCTAGACCCCATTTGCCTAGAATGGCCCCACTGCCTTTGAAAGCTGGAAAACATCATCCTTAGAGGAGAAACTTCCCCTGAGAGGTATACTGAGAGAGAGAAAACCTTAGGAAATGAATCAATCTCTCAGCATCTTAGTTCCCACATTTATAAAATGGGAGGGTCATAACTAGGGTTATCGGATGGTAAGGGGTAAGGCATGCCGGGGCCAGGCACATATTAGATGTCTCCTGAATGCTGTCATCTTCAGCTCAGACTCAGATTCAATTGATCTAGAAAACTGCTTTTTAATTTCTTCCCTGTCCTTCAGCTGGTCTAATTCTGCCTGCGTTATATACTATTTCTAACCCCCTTCTTCACACTTATATTTGATGTTCACACTACCCACTTGCTACTCTAGACTATAACATTCTTTTGGGCAGGAATCATATCCTATTCCTCCTGCCTGATCAGCACCTCACACATAGCTGGGCACACAGTAGGCTGTGTGACACATTTGAGCTGAGCTTCTGTTGGTTGATTGAAAGAAAAACTATAAAGTCCGGGGACAAATATATCTCTTCTTTATGCTATCTTTGTGTGTGTGTTTTTTTCCAATTAAAATACTATCTAGAGTGGTTTTAATTTTCCCAGATGAGGGGATCATATTAAAGAGTTACTGAAAGGAAGAGAGACAGCAGTAAGTGCACTAGGTGAAGCTACAGAAAAATCTAGGTTATCACCCAGATCTGTCACTTAGATGTGTGGCCCTGAGCAAACCAGCTTGCTTCTCTAAGCCCCAGATTTCACATCTGGAAATTGAGAATTCCATTTGTCCTAATTTTTAGGGTTGGGAGAATCAAATGAGACCTATAATGCCTGTGAAAGTCTTTTGTGCTAGTTTGAAGGGCCCCATAACAGTCAGAAAGCCCTAGTACTAGGCACACAGTAATGCTTGTATTAAATTGAGGAGCAGCCTCCTGGATATTTGATCATTTGTAAGCAGCTCCCTTTGTGATACATTAAAAATTAGGCACACTTGCATGCTATGTGTTAATTCTCTTACATAAAGATTAAAAATGTAGAAATGTGCCATGAAATATTAAACCAAACTGAAGACTGCAAGCGTAATTGTAACTCTGTGAGTATGTTAACAAGTCCACATTTGTACTTACCTCCCTGTGGAAAGAACTGCGAGTAAATCTCTTTGAAGGTTTCTTCATTAACAACACCACTGGGGCATTCCTAGAGAAAAGTGGCAGAGAAGCAACGTGAGGAAAGGGTTCATAAAACTGATTTTTTTGCTTATTTGGAAACAGAACTGTCTACTATGCAAAGCTGCACCGAGTTAACCATCCATCCATTATTACAAAGAGAATAAAAGCACACTATAAACCTCTCTATGTTCCAGTTCCTACAGGATAAAAAAAAAAAATTGCAGATGTAAATGTCTTTGCAAAGTGTCAAGGGAGGTCTGACATATTGAAAAACACACAGCTGCTTTTAAGAACATATATGTTTATTATTAATGAGGTAGGAGGAAATCGCTTTATTTTTCAAACAGCAAAGATATTTTAAGATGCTTATAACATGGTCTTTGCTGGATCTTGGTTCGGTGTCCTCTTGAGGTTTTCTGGACCAACATGATTTTCAGTTCCATGAGAAAATGGTGTGCTCCATTGGAGTCTAAACCAGTTCAAGAAGCTGCAATAGTTACTGATTTTTATAAACAGGTTATTCAGGAGTACACAACAACATGTGTTATTTGTCCGTTTCTGTTGCTTATAA